GACTCTTCATTGGGTTTCCTGAGCCCGTTGGATGGTGGTTTCCTGATCAATCGCTTGCTGAATGCTGGAAAGAGGAGTCACAGCACTGAGAGGCACTGCCTGAAAAAAGCCTCACAAGGGTCCACACAGGCCTGCTCCTTCTGCCATGTTTCCTAGTCACAGGGTTCCTCAAGTAGGGGAGGGCCAAGAGAGAGCCCTGGGGAGAGAGTATAGGTGGCCGAGGGCATAGGTTTCTGTCCTCTTGGACAGTGTTGGGTAAAACACTGTGGCCACACACTCCTTTCTGATGCAGATCACAGGTCCCCTCTGAAAATGGCCAGAGTAATGTTTACAGTTCACATTAGTCTTAGACGAGGAAACTTGTTGTTGTTGTTATTATTGTTTGCTTGTTTTGAAGGTACTGGGGATCAAACTCAGGGGTGCTCTACACTGAGCCACATCTTATCCCTTTGTATTTTGAAACAGGGTCTCACTAAGTTCCCTGCTCTGGGCTCAAATCTGTGATCCTCCTGCTTCAGCCTCCTGAGTTGCTGGTATTATAAGCATGTGCCACTGCACCTAGAGGGAGGCTGTTTTCTGATCACATTTCAGTCTGGAACATAGAACCAATCTCCTTCCTTCTTTTCTTCTCTCTCTCTCTCTCTCCTTCCCTCTTCCCTCTTTCCTTCGCTCCCTCTACTAGGAGTTTCCCGTATGGCTCATTGCTTTTCCTTGCTACCCAGACAGTGCCGGGTGTTGCCATTAACCAGGAGGTGCCTGATGAGCCTGTAAGGTATGCAGACCTGGGAACCCCTGTGTGCCTCCAGATACAATACGCAGTCCAGGCAGACTTTAACTGGGCTAAGAGGCTGAGTCTGAAAAGGACTTATCATTAAGGACATGGAAGCCCCCAGAGGAGGGGAAAAGTCATTGCTGAATCTGAGTCCATTTTTCAGAAACAAATTCATACTCCAGAGGAATTCTCTGGGTACTATAGAGAATAGTGGGAGAAATGTCTGGTATTTTAGAGCCCACAGCTTGGGCACTTTGTTGCAAAGCACAAGGTTTGTGAGGGGAATAGGGAGGGGTGTGCTGCTGCAAACCCTTTGAATGACCCAGGCCTTTCAGAGTCAGGAAGGGCCTGGTTTCTTCAGCAAAAGAATCATTGGTGGCCATGAGACAAAAGCTTCTGCAAGGAATAGAAATACAGTAGCCATCTATCTTTAAGGGTTGAGGTCGACTGTGGGAACCAAGGAGACCTGAATGTGGGCCAGGGAAGGATCAGGTTGCCATGGTCCAAGTATGAGCTTTTCGGGGATGAGTTGAATTAAAAGAGGTCTCCATGTGTGCCAGACTCCATGCTCAGTGCTCACACATCCAGGTGAACATGATTTCACGTCATCCTCGAGACCACCCTTTGAATAGCTAGGAGGTCTTTCAGGACAGGAAACTGAAACACAGAAATTCACCCTAGGATGTGTATCCATGAAGCTGTGTGCCTCAAACATGCATGGGTGAGGTCACCAGCTGGGCTCTGAGATGAGTGCATCTTGCCCGTGAATTCCCTAGAACTCTCACTTGCAGGCTGTGGCTCAGCAGGAGTGCGGATGAGGCACTACTCTACTGGTCCCTGCATACTTTGGTTCCCCACGCTGCTTGGAGGTGGTGCTCACTTCCTGAGCAGTGTGCTGTATCAGCAGCACTGCCTCGAACTCACTAAACCATCCCCTCATTAAAGCCTCTTGATTCGATGCAGTTAGTGGCATTACTCCCCCTTCCACAGAAGAAGAAGCAAAGGCTTGGAAAGTTGGTCAGATTCCCCAGGTGACAAAGGAAATGGTGGCCGTGGATACGCCCTGAATATGTCACACAGAGCCCAGTCTTCAAATAAGACAGGAGTCGGTCTGGAGTCTCACATAGGAATTGGAGGATGAAAGCTTTTCTTCTTAAAGATACAAGTGAGGAAGGAGAGAGAAAGAACAACTTTTTAGAGCTGGACTTGAACTTATCCCTTTCCCCATTTTCTCTTTCATGAGCCTTCTTTCCCTTCTCCCAGATACTACAGCCAGAAGTGAATAATCTTTGCATAACGAGCTCTTCCATGAGGCACATGTACTGGACTTGATTGCCTTTGTGCCTATAATCCCTCTGTAAATCTCTCCAGGGTTGAGTGCTCTGGGATAATTATGTGATGTATACATATGTATATATATTTGTGATATATATGCATATATGCATAATTTTTTATAAGTGCAACTCTAACACAAAATATCAACCTATCTACGCTCATTACCTGGAAAAATTTTCCTATCCTTTCTAGGTCTGTTGCATTTACATTTGGACTGTTGTTTACTGTTATGGTTTGTGTCTAGATGTTCTCTCAAAGGCTCATGCGGTCATAGGTGGGGCTTTTTAAAGGTACTTGGATCTAGCATGTGTGATGCTGGGATAAAGGGTGAATGATTACTAAATTAGCTTACTGATTACTCTGGCACAGTTCTGGGTAGGATTAAGGGTGGGGGTGAGTGCTACCTGCCCTGAGGTTGGGTAGCCTGGATGTAATATAAGGTACAGAAAGAGGTCCTCATTTGTCCCTTACTGCTTGCTGCTTTGCTTCTTCACTACTTTGCTGCCTTCTGCCACCCCTGAACTCTTTCTCTTCTGCCATGCCCCTCTGCCTTGCCACCCTGCCTTGGAGCCAGCTGACTATGAACTGAAACTTCTACAGACTGTGAGCTAAATAAACTTTTCCTCCTTTAACTTTGGGTATCAGATATTTTGTCTCAGCAACGAGAACAATTAACTAAGACACTTACATTTTATTTGCCTAGTCCCAGCAACCATGGAAGGGATCCATTGGACTGGGACTCCAAAGTTCTAAGTAGCTTTGTGAATCTGGTTACCTGTTTTCTGACTCTCTAAACCCCAATTTCCTCATCTATAAAATGGGAATGCTATAACACCCACCTCTTGAGGTTTTTGTGAAGATTAAATTTAACTGAGTGAAGGTGCCTGGAATGGGATCGATAACCAATAAATGTACAATCTTCTTTCTTTCCTGGTAGTGGAAACAATAACTAGGATCTGACTTAATTCTCTACAGCATTCATGGTATTATGGCATAACCTCCCAAAACAACAAGCCGTCATTTTGCAAAACTGCTAATTGCCAAATCAGCCTGCAGCTATAGGCAGAGATGGGCTATGTTTCCTCTCATATCATTCAGGTTATTTTGTTGGTTTAATTTTTGTGAATGCCCCTAGCTCTCTGCAAGCCCTTACACCAGCTGGTCTGTCCTTTCTGTGTCTAATTCACTCCTGTTAATCTGCTTGGTCAGCAAAACTTCCCATCTCCTTGCTGTGTTTCAGGAGTGCATCTGTCTGGAAAAGGCATTTTTCGTATTTACTTTAACTGGCTTCATTTGGCAAGGAGGTCTGGGGTTTCAGCCCCGGAGAAAAAACAGCTTTGATTATACTGCCCTTGTTTACTATACGCACGCGGTGATGCATCCCTTGTTTAGGGAGATGGTAAATGCTTCTGCAGGGAGCCAAGGAGTAACAAAAAGAGAGTCAGCAAGCATGTGGGTGACCCCTGGTCCACACTACTCTGCACAGCACCTCCTTCATCTGAATTTCCTTTTCTTTTTCTGTTTTGGTACTGAGGGTTGAACTCTGGACCTTGTGCTTATGAGGCAGGGGGCAGAACGACTGAGCTAAATCCTTGGCCTGACACCTCCTTCATCTGAAAACCACACCCTGCATTAGCAGTCAGCCACCCCAGGGTTGATGCAGTGGGCAGATTATCTTCAGTGGACGTGCTGGGGAGGGGCCCAAAGGACCACTGACTGAGTCCCACATTCCCAGAAAACTGCATCTGCTTCTCAGCCAGACATTGTGGTGACCTGGGACACTGCTTTCATCTGTACCACCATCCTCTCTTCTTTGACCCCAGCAACAGTGTCCTGGCCAATCTCCCTGCTCGGTCCTGGCCTTCCTCTGTATCCACCGACTCATCCCACTGCCTTATTTCAAATCCCTCAGTGGTTTTCCTCTTGTCCTTTATAACAAACCCCAGCTTTTAATAGGCAGTGTAAAGCATAGCCAGGCTTTCACCTTATCATAGGCCTCTTGCAGTCTATACGCCCATCATGGTAAACTTTTGCAGCTTAATTAATTCATGTGTTCATTCATTTAAAAGTTACTGATCCGGGATCTAGTGTATACTAGACACTGTGTTGAGTCCTGGGGACTCAATGATACATACAAATGTGGTCTAAGGTGAAGACCAGTAATCACACAGTCACCCCCACTGTGGCCTGGTACAGCTCAGAGGATGACTTGAGCCCTGCTGATAGGTGATGTGAGGTGATGTAAGTTATGGAATGAGGCCGGAGGATAATGTGATCTGATCTCACTAGGGAACCACACAGGCTCCTCCCACGGTGCCTTGCAAACAAGGAGCTGAATGAGATACCGGAGTGAACCAAGCAAAGAGCCGAGCCCTATGGCAGGAGGGAAAGTATGGCAGAGGAATTAAGCAAGCAGACCCACTGGGCCAGAGCACAGAGAGCACCAGGGGATGGGGAAGGCAGGGAAAAATAGGCAGGGCCTGGAGGCCATGCTAAGTGTGAGTTTATCCTAAGAGCAATGGCAAATCCCTGGAATGAATGTATAATGATGGTATAATCAGAAATACACTTGGGAAAGAATATTTGGATGGATGGGGCAATGAATGGATTAGGTGGGGTTGAAGAAAATGTGGAGAATTTATTGGAGTGGTTAAGGGAAGAGATGTGACTAGCTTAAACCAGGTGAGGGCAGTACAGCGGAAAGCGGTAGACACCTTTGGCAGATGATGAACAGACATATTTGATATGAAAAGTAGCAGATATCTGATGGGTAAGGAACAGATTAAAGCAACAGGATTTGCAGATGGGTCGGATGTGGAATGGGTACATTGAGAGAGAGCTATGAGGGTGCAGACCCAGCAACCATCGTGGTCCAGAAGTGGGTCTTACTCACCTGTGAGGGCGGCCCTGGTGGTGGGGCCGATGGCCTTGAGGACCAGCATCTCGTGGTATTGCTCCCCTGCCAGCGTGCTGTACACCACCTTGTACTCCTGAACGTCTGCTTCACTGTTATCCCACTCAAGGTCAAGGCTGGTTGCTGTGCGGGAACCAACTCGCAGATTCTTGGGAGCATCAATCTCTGGAAATAGACAGGCATCACCGGCGTCAGACACGGTAACGTGCATTTGTGGTGCATCTTGAATTTTAAAAGCCACTGGGTGACAGCCCTTGCCTTCTGACCCTCTGCTTCATATTCCAGTGAACCTTGTGCTTGCCCTTAGCTTTTAGCCTGCCATCACAGACTCCCTGGGCAGGGCAGAGGATTTCGCTTGGGAGTTAGACAGCCATGTGCTTTATGTTTCCACCTCAACCAGTCAAGAGTTTCAGTGGCGTGCTAGAAACTTGAAAATGAACAAGTTAATATTATAAACTTAAAAACAAAACAAAGGAAACCTCAGTAGGAGAAAATCAGGTATAATACCAAGTGATTTAAATAGAGCAGAGCATTATCAAATTTGAACATGAAGCAAAAAGGAGATGGTTGATTTCATAACGTCTCCTGCTGGATTTGCCTGTATGGATACAGCTGTAAGGTTATCAGCTTGGAATATTAAGATATATATATATATAGAGAGAGAGAGAGGGAGAGAATATGATAGAATGGGAAGAATGTGGGTTTTGCAGCCACACCTGAGTCTGATCTTCAGCTCTCACCCCTGTAGTAAGGGGACCATGGACATGTTTTTCACTCTCTTGAGGGCTTTATGGGCTCCTATATAACAGAGGCAAATAGTACTGAAGAGATTACACAATGTGTGTCAAGTGGCCTGGTACAAAAATAGATGTCCAAGTCCCAGACTGGCTCCCTGTGGCCCCTTAAACTCTCCTAAGTTCTGCAACATGGGCCCCAAAGCTGCTTCTGGAGCAGGATTCCATTGCAATGAAGGGAATATCAGCATTGGATTCTGTCCCACCACCCCAGCGGAGCTGCTTCTCTCCCTTTTAGGACCAGGCCAGCTCCTTAGGCTCATTTGGGGAAGAATAACATAATGTAATTATGTTATGTGTAATAAGATGCTGCCCTGAAAATCTGTCACTTAAAAAGTTCCAGACACTTCTTGTCTTTGAGACATGCATTTAATTTTGGAGTGGAACAGCCATTTGTTCCAAGGAAACCTTGGGTGGACTGTTGTAATTTGCAAAAGCAAGGCATATAGCCATCAGTTGTTCTTGCGAAGAAGAGAATGCTGTGAATCAATCTGAAAGCAGAGGCTTCCATGTGAGAAGTATTCTGTTTAGTGATGTAAATTGGGCGAATCTTTTAGCAGATTTATGTCTCTGCAGCTTATTTTTCTGAGAAATGTTTCTTTATTCAACGTACTTTGGCATGCTGGATCCTGTACATTCTTGGCGTGTCATGTATGTTATTCCTCTAGCAAATGGATGGAGAGGCAGGTGGAGGGGCTTGCCAGGCAGCATAGCCCTGAATCTCAAATCGGAGAAGAGCTGGAAAAAGGGGCTGATTAGGCTTGGGGTGTGAGTGGCCAGAGCTGAGCTAGAACAAAAGCAGCTGAAGTTAGGGTTAGGGTTAAAGTTGAGACTTCACCTAATGCTCTTCACAGCCAAAATCTGATACCTTGGAAATCTCTCCTTTTTATAGGAACACAGAGTGGAACCACTGCCAACGGTTTTGGGATTTTGGGTCATGGGGCTTGTACGGTGTAGCGAGGGCAGTGTTTTCTCTGGAAGGGACCAGATACTTTCAGGGTCAATAACCCTGAGAGGTCATTTCCAGAGTGGGGGCTTGGAAGGCGAGTCTCAGAACTGGGAGAGGGGAACTGGTTGGATCTCTGGGTCTAGAAACCTGACGCCTCAGAGGGGCATTTGAAGGACACCCCTTCCACCCTTCAGCTGGGACTGAGCTGGTCTCTGTAACACGTCAGGAGGCTGGGGATGAGGCAAAGACCCCTGGGTTTGTGAGCTCTGGCAATAGCCCTATCTACTCTCTAAAACAGGTTAGATCACTAATTTCCCTGGTTTAAACCATTCCTGTTCTCTGCATTGTACACTCCTAATCATAGCCTGCAGGGCTCTGAATTAGTTGGTTTGGGCTGCTTCTCAGCTATCACCTCAACACTCCTACCCCTATTCGTTGTGGTCCAACTGAACTGCCTTTTTCCTGCTCTTGAAACACACCAAGTTAATTCCTACCTCAGGACCTTTGCATTATGCTGCATTTGCCTAAAATGCTCTTTTCCAGATCCTTCCATGAGTTAGGTCATATAGGCCTTTGTTAAAATATCATTTCCTAGGACTTGCCAAATTCCTGAATCCAATGGAGCTTCCTTCTGTCTCATTTCTCTTCTCACAGTATTCATGATTGAAATGTTGTGTTTTTCTTTTCATTGTCCAGTTCCCCCCCGCAGGACTGTCATTCGTGTACTGGGATCTTGTATATCTTGTTTGTTCTATCGCCTCAGTGCTTAGAATGGTGCTTAGACCCCAATAGAAGTTCAAGAAGGCAGAACAATGACCATTATCTGTTCTCTGTTTTGTTTGCTACCACAGAACCTCTAGGAAAGTCTTATTACCTACTTCAGCTGTGAAGTTTTGAGGATGCATCGGGTAAGCTGTGTGGGGAAAAGGTGGCTTCAACAAGGGCAGATGGCCTTGCAAGGGGAGAAAGGTCCCTCTGCTGTCTTAGCCAGATCATTGGCTGAGTTGGCCAATGCCATCCAGACTGAGCTTGTGGAAGAACTTCCTGGAGATCCCAGAGGGCATTACTGCCAAGCAGGTGGAGCCTGAATCCTTGTGGCTGGGTTGTCACATTAGTTTCCCAGGGCTGCCACATATGGATGTCTTCCCAGGAAATTATTGTCTGGAAGACTGAGATCCCTGTGTCCGAAGGCTGTGAGAGGCTGTGGCATATTTCTGTCTCAGCTTCTAATGATTTGATAGCTGCCTTTGGCATTTCTTGATGTGTATCTCTGTCTTCATCTCCACATGACATTTTCTTTGTGTGCCTGTTTTTGTGTTTAAATTTTCCCTTTTATAAGGACCCTATCTCCAAATAAAGTCACATTCATATAACCTGAAGTTTAGGGCTTTAATAGCTTTTTAGAGGACAGGATTCACCCTATAACATTAAAGTAAGGTTTGGAGCATTTGGGTCGGATGTGGCAGTGGCTGAATACAGAGGGTAAGGCTCAAAGGGAAGAGCATCAGGGGACAGGACAGTCCCAGGAGTCCCCCAGGAAGGCAGCTGAAAGCAGGGAAGCTGAGGTGGGGAGATTTTGGGGTGGCCTCCATTCTTCCTGGCTGGTCTTTCTCTCCCTCATCCCTCGGCTTTGCTGCACTTCTGTCTGGGTTCTTTCTTTTTTTAGAATAGCTGTAAGACCCAGGCAAATATCCCACACTCCATGCAGGAAGCAAATCTCTGTTTTAATTGCCTGTGCAATTAGTGCACTCCTAGTGTCGAAGCCAACACCTGAAAAAGCACTTTGGTTAATTTGAATTAAAGCGGAGTTTTGCAGTGACTGAGGGCCCTACTGTGAGAGGCTGGGTACCCTTTCAGCATTTAACTGGCACCTGCCATCCCCAGACTTTGAGAGTTTGGCTGCAAAACTGTCTTCCCACCCTATGGCTTCTCCCAGTCATGGAGCAGAGGCAAATAGATCCAAGGCGCAGGCTGCATCTGCATGGAGAAAGCAGCCTCCTAGCTGCTGCCAATCCACCAGACAACCGGAAATGGAGAGTCATGAAGCTCATGGTGAGCTCCAAGGAGGCAGAATGTAATTATCTGGGTTGGAATTTTCCCGGGCCACCGGCCAATCCTGCTTCCATCTTGTCCACCTGAACATCAAGAATTTGCTTTTCATCACACTGCTTGAGAGCCCTCTTCCCCTTTTTTGCCTCTTCAAACTCCTTATCAGAGCACAGCACAAGGAGACCACTTTTGAAACTCAGTGTCTCTGGAAATGAAGGAAGGGATTCAGGACTCACGGTCCATAGCAGACACCACTGCCCTGAGCAAGCGGTGCTGTGTGTGGGTGGGGGAGTCCGACCTTGAATGTTCTAACTAAGAAGGCATTTCTGGCTTATGCTGTCCCAGGAATGTTTTTGATTAATGAAGAAGAAGAAAAGAAGAGAAATGGGCAGAAATTGATTCCTTTTTCCCCAAAGCACAGTCTCTGGGGATCCCAACACATGCATAGGGAAAAATGCCTCTGGCCACATCCTGGGTGAAGGAATGGAGTTTGGTACAAGTGTAGCAGGAAAAGCCTAAAATGGTCTCCTGCTGAATGAAGCCCTGCCTTCTGCAGTTTGCTACATTTGTTTTGATGGGAGAGATTTCTGTGTGGAAGGAGCTCCATCATGAGACTCCTGGCCTCTCTTTTTTGCTGGGGAAATGGATTTAACTAATGCCAAGATCGGCAGCGAGGCCTGGGCACAGCCTCTCTGTCCTCTCTTTCCTAGGATGGACTGCTCTCGGGGCTCAGGGCTCTAATCTGAGCAGTCTCCAGTTCTGCCACGCTGACAAACCAGCCCAGGTCCACAGGGGCTGTTCAGCATGCAAATCCATCTGACCACTGCTAAGCTATATGCTCCAATCTAGGAGATAGGTTGGTGTCTGTTTGTCTTACTCTTTGGCTTATTGATCATGATTAAAAACCCAAGTGGAGCAGGGAGTGCTAGTTATTGAGGCTCTTGGACTCCATCCTGTGATGGAAAGCCACAACCCAGAATAGTGTAGGACACTTGAATTAGTGATTCTTCTGCTCTGTCAGACGGTGGTGGTTCTGCGATTTTACAAATATTATAGGTTTCCTTTGGTTCCTGGGACAACTTGAAGTGGGCAGAGATATGCTTTGACATGTGACCTCCCCCAGGGAGAGAGGCCAAGACTGACAATTTGGATTCAATAGAGCTTCAGTCACTAATCTGATCACAGACCCGTTGACCTCGAGAGTATGTCAGGAAGCTTGATGGTGCCCATCCTACTTACCTACTAGCTGGCCAGACTAATGGGTGCTAGACAGTCAGGAACACGTGACTCTGAGGTCTGGCCTTTCCTGACTGTTAGGCACTCTTTGAGTCCCAACAGCCTTGGCGGGGGTGGGGGGCAGTAGTCATCACAGAAAGGCAGGAGGTGCTCACATGGGATCAATTCCGCTTCCTGTGTGTGGGAATCTGGCCCCCTGTTCCCCTTTATTGTGAGTGTGCACAAGCAATGGGTGAATCATGGATCCTAGGAGAAGGTCTATATGGTTATACAGGCTGGCTTTGTGCAGTGATAAGGTGCATGATTGTGGTTGTGCAGCCATAATAGGTTTAGAGCATTATCACTACAATTTTCAGCAAGCGGCATAAAGTGTCTCTAGGAAGAGACACCCTTCCTGATTTCTCCTCCAGTCACCATTTGGGCTAGCAATAGGAAACTTAAATGTCTTCAAGAAAAGCCTGTCTTTTGCAAAGGAGAAACCTGAGAGCCACAAGGGGAGCATAGATGTAGCAGCAGAACTAGGGTGAGAAGCTAGCTCTCCTCACTGCTTTTCTATTGCCCAGTGATGCTGACATCCACAGGAGCCCCCGCCCTGCCCCCAAACTCTCACATCCGCTTTTCAGCAGCTGGAATGACTCGATCCCCAGCACACTCTCTCGCTGGCCCAGTCTTACCTGTGGTGAACTGGGTGGTCGTGGACTTGCTCTCGTTGGTCCCTCGGACTGCGCTGACGGACACCTCATAGCGGGAGCCAGGCCGCAGGGCTTGCACTGAGTATTGGCTCAGGGGAGGCTGTAGCCGGAAGGTGGTCTTCCCACCTTCCCCACCCACCAGGCCATATTTCAGGAGAATGAAATCGACCTTGGCGCGAGGAGGGGTCCACTCCACAAAGGCCACTGTGTCAGAGACATCTCGTACCAGGATCTGTGTGGGCCCATCTATGACTGCATGAGGGATCAGAGAGAAGGAGCAGTTGGTTGAGAAAGAAGACTTCACATCAGCTCCCTCCTTTCCTTCTGACACTAGTTTGGTCAAAGCCAGCATAGGCATCAATCACCCCATTTTACAGATGGGGAAAGTGAAGCACAGTAAGGTGACGTTAGAGCTCAGTTTTCCCTGATACCTGGTGTAAGTCTCCTCGTACCAGGCTATAGCTTTCAGGTGCTAGCTCTTCCTGCCTGGGCAGTGGAAAGGCATTTACTGGCATCTTTTTCTGGATGTGATGGGGCAGATAATTGAGGACAGAGGTCTGGAGTATGCCTGGAGCCCTGCTCTGGCCTTGCTTGAGCCCTGCGGAAATGAAAACCCTCTCAAACTTCCTGGACTCAGATGTGGTTGCCAAAGGGGTCATCGTGAGGGCTTAAAAGTTGTCTCTGTTCAGCCACGGCCACCAACCAGCAGCTGACTATACCCAAACCCCACAGACATTTTGCATTTGTGGACCTGAGACATGCCTTGTGAGTAAATGTGCCACTCTGATTCAAAAGAACTGCATCTTGAGAGAGGCCACTGTGGGGCATTTTTCTCCCCTGGTGGTTGCAAATTTCTGAGCCAACAGGGCACAGCAGGCACATACAGGCCCATAGGTTCTCCAGCTCCTATCCCTCACCTGCCCTGTGATGCCTGGAAAAGCTGGCTGGTCTCCTCCGGGGCCACCATCCATGGCTCCAGCTCCCACTTGGGGTCCTTTCATATTGAGTTATACTGAATAGGGAAAGTGAGAGAGTGCAGAGGGGCAGTAGAAAAAGAAAAGGCTTACTGAGAACAGAAAACGGTGTTCTGAACTCCTCATGGGATGTCGGTAGGGCTGATATGCCCTTCTTTGAGAATTACTCATTACTTGATAAAAGAGTAGGCGCAGCCTCTATGTTTGCATTTGCTATGAGACTACAGCCCTCTGGCTGGAGCTCCATACTATTAATATTCTTTAAAGATTGGGAGTGCACCAGAGACTTCCGGTTCTCTAATTAGCCTGTGGTGAACCATGTAGTGCTAGACCTGGTGAGGCCGTTCTCTACCATATTCATACAGAAATGGGAAACATCTGATGGAAAATATGGAGAAGAGAGGAGAAGGAAAGGGGGGGAGGGTAAGGGAGAGGACAAATGAAAAGGGGAGAAGAAGAGAGGGAAGAGAGAGCAGATATAGACAGAAGCAGAAAGATACAAAGAGTAACTCAATTCCTACTGTTCCAGTTTGTGATGCAAGTCTTTTATGAGGTCCATATGAATTTCTGGCCCCAGGTTTCTGTGAGATGCTCTATGTCCTTCTAGTAAATTCTCTTTTGCTTCAAGTAGTTAAAGCAAATTTTCCTTCTTTTATACCTTAGAGTCTTGACTAAGACTTGTTTTTAACCTGCACTTTCTGGACCACCTTCTACTGTGTCTCCAGGAAGAGGTCTTTCCCCCAGCCCTGTCGCAGGCCAACCTTGAGTCTCTCACCTTTTCAAAGGTCAGCATTTCCCTGGGGACCCCACCCTCACTCTGGAGCTGATTTCTAGTAAGTGATTTAAGGCTGCTGGTCTGGCACCAGCCAAAATGAAAATCACCAGACCATTTTGGGGGAATCTGGTTTGGAGTTTAAACAAGTCCTGGTTTTCATATTTGAGGTAGTCATGTGATTTCACAGGAAATATTCAAATGGCTTCTTGGCTTCTATTCAGCATGTTGGGCTTGGTGGCTTTAGATAAGTAGGACCTTTTAAATTTCATTTAATTGAATTATGAGATGGGGAATATCCTCGTAGCTGCGGTATAAGCTTACTGCCTGAAACAAAGTAGACAGTCAATGAGTGTGGAGTAAATGAAATGACGAGATGAGCCTCTTCATCCATGAGGAAGAAGGGGCAGAATTTCAATGAACTGGAGCTTCTGGGGGTGGGGAAGACATCAGGAAAACTCCAGTGACCACATAAAGCTTTTGTCCTTCAACTCTTTAGATCCAAAAACCCTAATCATAACAGATTGACCATATTAGAATGTGATTATGTAGCACAGAGGGCTCTAGCTGCAGGAGGTCTTGTATTTGCATTTACAAAATGGCCTGTCTGGAAAAAGCCAGTCTGAGTGCAGATGAGGACGCACATCACAGGAGGGGGTTGGTGTAGGTCAGAATCTTAGTAGAAGGAAATAATTAAACAGTCATTTTCAAAAACAGCAGACAGGGTTGTGAGCCAGCCATCTTCTCTGCCACCACCCTTGGATTCTGCCCTTTGGTTGGTTACTTGGTAGTGATGTCCTATTCCATTCAAAGAAGTATCACCTTGCAAAGCAGTTTAGGCCCCAATTTCCAAACAAACATAAGCCCCACTCATAAAGTAAATTGGAATTCATGTGTTTCTTTTTCTATTTTTTTCATGGCTACTGTACTCAATGCCACAATATTAACAGGATATTGTTTCCTTAATTGAAAAATAATCTGCCTATTTTACCAAGGCATCTGAAACTTTTCAATTTAATCTCAAGGATTTTTTACTCCCCTCAGTACTGCAAATTCTATGAAATTGTGGTTTGAATGTAAGAATAAGTCTGGGTTGGACTCCCTCCTCTAAGTATTTTCAATAGCTGGGAAGAAAAATATTCAACTGTCATGTTCTCTCTCCTCTTGTGAACTATCTCCTTTTTCCAGTCTTTTTTTTCTCTACTAATGTTTTCTCAACATCAAATCAGAAGAATGGCTTGGGGACCCTGAACCATTCCATCACAGAAGTCGAAAATCTTTGCTTGTTATCAAATGTTAATTCTTCAGGTTCCAGGATAACCTTGGGGATGGGCTATGCCCTTGGCCTTCTGGAGATTCCTGCAGAACACTTTAGGTTTCAGAGCCATGGAGCTTCTTCTAAAGCATATTTGGATTAGAACAGTGCTTTTTAAAGTTTTTTTTTTTTTTTTGAGTGAAAAAAATTTTTTTCAGGAACAAAATCTTAAACAACTGTACAAAATATAAAATGTTCCGGAGTGGAGCTGCCCTTGTTGGCACATGGGAGAGCGAATAATTAGAGGTGTGAATTTCTACCAGATCCTGGCCTCAGGGCACAACCATGGAACCTCAGTACAGGACTGGAATAGAAGCTGGTGCCACAATGGCTTTTAACCAGATTTCCTGGGCTGAGCATGGGGCTATAACAGCCAGTGTTATGTACTTTGGATTCAAGCAGCAAAATATGAATCCCTAATCCATAAACATGGTCTTAGGGTTCTCTCTCTCTTTCTTTCTGTTTTTTTTCCTTGTCCTGGATTTAAGGATAGCTGTTTAGGGTATCAATTTCTGTTTATGAAAAATAAAATTATACCAATAGTCACCATCTCAGTTTTTGTTAATGACAATAAAAGTTTCTTGATCTCTGAATCCTACTCTCTTATCAATAAGATGAAAACCAAAAATTAATACTATATGCTATTTGTAACTTTTGAGACAATCTTGGTGAAGGCACACACATATGCATCACAATGGCTAATTTAAAAGATGGAAGTTGAACATCCCTTGTGAGCTAAGGAAGCAATAAGGCAAAATATGACAAAGCTGATGAATCAATCCTACAAATACAATGATCTTGAATGAAATGAACTGTGGGAATGGAAGAATAATCAACTTAAATTATCTCCCTGAAGAGTGGTTTAACTCTACCTAATGGTTTAAAATGTCTCCTGCTGCTTTCACTTCTAAGCCTGTGTTCTGGGTAGATGTGTATCTACCAAGTGTTAAGCACTCACTCTTATCAACACAGTGCTAATCACTCCGTGAACTTCATCTAATTTAATCTTTATATATCATCATCTCAATGAAGGAGGTGTTATGCAAAATGGATTGAGGTTTGGGAAGACTTTCTCCAAATCTCATACTAGGTTTGAGTCAATTCTTGTTGGCTCCAAAGCTCTTGACACTAGGAGCTTGACAAAACAGACCTGTTGATGAATAATATCAGGGAAGACTTAGCAGGGTTTCCACCAAGGAGCACTCTCCCAGTTTTCTATGCTTGCAAGGCTGAGCAATGAGGAATATGAACAGCTGGGCATCTGGTGGAGGAGATCCTTCTCCAGGTCCCCAAATTGCCTCAGCTCTGGGAGGAACCCTCACACCTCTTTTGTTCCTCTACTTCCTGGGTAATTCTGCAGTTGCTTTTCCTGAGTGGTGAACTGGGCACCCCTGGGGGAAGGTTGGAAGCACTTACCAGTGGACACGCTGGCCGAGGTTGGGGGGCTCCGTGCTTGCTCTTTCAATGCCACCACATTGACAGTGTATTCCTCCCCAGGCTTTAGTCCTGTCTGGTTAAAGGAGGTAACATCGCTGGGGAGCTGGGCAATCACTCCTCCTTCATTGTTCTGGAGAGTGAGGAGCAGCAGAGAAAGCAAAAGAGACAAGTCACCCAGAGAGTATTTGAGAGACAGAGGTGTAGAGCACTGCTTGTGAACTGGAGATAAAACTGAGGGCTATGTCTATTCCCTTCACACTAACAGCTGAGTGTATGCAGCCAGCAACAGCTCTATGCAGCTTAATAAGAACTAATTTTCAAGAACATTTCTTTGGCTTCTTCTGGGTTTTCTGAGTTTGCCAATAAAAATCAGTCATGAGGAGATACAGATTAGCTCTTGCCAAAGACTAAAGGTTTGATAGTTACAGTTAGCATCCATCATGTTTTTGGGCACTTACTGTGATGTGTATGCTCTGGGCTCTTGAGAAGAGTGTAATTGTGTGCTTATGTGTGCCACATCTTTATATGTACACACAATGTATTTCAAACAAAGACATTCTCATTTTTTTTAATGAGCTGGAGCTTTCACTTTGCTATACCTGGAACCTGTCAAGGTGTTACACTGGGTACAAATCTGTCATTGTCTTGTTTCCCCTTTATCCATTTAAGACTCAGTGACACAACCATGAAATACAAAGAAAAGAAAAAGGAAGTAGAGAACAAAGAATGCTACAAAGGAGAGAAGAACGAGACAAACTGGTAGAGGAAGTAATGAGAAAGAGCAACTTGATGACATGAAGTCCAGGGTATATTCTTTGCCTGCCTGCCTGTGTCTGTCTGTCTGTCTGTCTGTCCTATATTTATCATCTATATTTTAATCATACATTTTTATATGTGTTCTTGGAAAGTGAGAAGACAAATAAGTCCTTTGTGTGACACTATCCTTCTTCCTTATTCTTTGATCACTATGTCATTCAGAATACCCTGTATAGAATTTATAGCTATACTCTTATTAATCAGTGTGGGAAGTGTCTCCCAGTGACTTCAACCTTCAGGTCACTATAGTTAATCCATGTGGCCATATATTTGATCTTGGCACGCCGTGGGCAGCATCTTTCTTACTTAGAGTTTTACATATTGTGTGCAAAACAAAACAAGAGAGCCTGGTGTAATTCCTGCCTTCGCAGTGGGCAACATGATTCTTTCTGCCTTGCTATAAACCCACTGACTTGACATTTTTCTTGGTCATTGTAACTCAGATGAGACATGCAATGACTAGTGGTACAGAGCACATGTTTAGGTGTATTTAGCTTGCTATGATATGACTACAGCCATGTAAAAGAATAAGGCATCCTGGGAGAGTGGACAGAGCCCAGAACAAGAAGCTGAGACTAAGGATTTTGTCTGAAGCCTGGTGCCAAATAGGTATATGCTATCATTTAAGTTATCTGAGTCTCTATAAATTAAATGTAACATGAAAGGTCTTCTATAGCTTCAAAATTCCATGTCTCTAAGAGTTTCAGGATAGAAGAATTGGTAAAATCAGTCAAATATGCCATTTGTCATGAAATCTGATGAATAACTGAAAAACTCCTGTTTAATGTTAAAGGATGAAGAAAGAGGAAAGGAGCGGGACTGAGCTGGCAGTTAGGGAGAATATCAAACGGTCAACACATCCGGAAAGACTAGAATGGGCAGGCGCCTCTTGGCAAGTTAGAAGCAGTTTTAGGATTAATAAAATAAAATCTTGCTTTAAAGCATAGAGAGGAATTTTAGGTTACTTTAAAACTTATAGATCAGATAGTGTAAATTTATTTAAAGAAGCTATTGTTTAATTAATAGTTTACAGATTCAATTGAATAATTCAGGAAAACCAAGCTGTTTTTGTGCTACCTCTGTAACCTTCAACAACTGGAGCCATGTGAACTGACTTTTCCTGTGTCTCTCTGTACAGACTGAAGCTCGAGTTGACTATGTGACTGGCTTTATTTGGCTTTTCTTATTGATTGATTGATTGTGTTGGGGATTGAAACCAGGGATTTAACTCTTTAATTTTTTTTTTTGAGGAAAGGTGTTGCTAAGTAACTCTTGCCCAAACTGAGCTTGAACCTGTAATCTTTCTGCCTCAGCCTCCCAGACTGATGCGATTATAGCCATGTACATGTACCACCCATTCCTGGCTCCTTTGGCTTTTTTTAAGTCTGAAAGAGGAGCCCTAACTTTTTGAGGGTCTGGTTTTCCCTATCCCAAGCAGCATGGCTCTCCAGATCCTGGGGCTACCTCAGCAGAGAGCTAGAGACAGTGGCTGTTTCCCACAGCCCTGATTATCGAAGGCCAAGGTGCTGAGCTTGGGACCACTCTTGTCAGTTGGTTCTCAGGTCTTTGGAAAAGAAGCTTCTAGGCCAAAACACTGAGGAGGTGCCCTTTGTGTCATTAAGGAGTTGAGGGTCTTGAAAGAAGGCTAAGGAGCAGCCTAGCAGTTGTTACCTTTGGAATGAAGCTGATCTCCCACCCATCGAAGGAGAAGGAGAAGGGCTCCCACTGCACCTCCACGGTGGTTTCAGTGATGGTCTTGAATCGTAGTCCTTGAGGAGTGGAGAGATCTGGAACACAACAATGTGGGTGACAGTGTCACGGCTCCCAGCAGGGATGGACAGTGCAGCCTGGGGCTTTGTCACGTGAACTCCCACATGCTGTGGGTGTGGCATGTCGTGGACAGTTCCAATCCTACTACAAACACAGTGAGTCCCAGGCACAGGACTGGCCCACTGTGCTGCGGCTCTGGGGCTCAGTGTTGGTGTCATACATGAGCAAGCTCAATAAGCACAGCCATAGTTTTCTTTTTATTGTATAACAGAAAGTGTTAATATTAAAATATGAATCTTGTTTTCCTTTCCTTACTAATGTGGTAAATCTTGGCATTGAATAAAAAGTCTTTTTGTCAGAGAACTCAAACACTATCTTTGGAAGCTATACAGGAGCCTTGAGGGGCAAGATAGTGGCTAACAGCAACATTCCCATTTCATGTGCAGGAAGAGGGAGGAAGAGGGAAGGCTGGCTATGGAGGAGCCAACTGCAGAACAAAGACAGGAATACTTTTCTTGATTATCTGATGTGCACTAAAAGTAATTTGCTTACCTCACATTACTAAGTCTAGGATAGTCTGAATTCTCCATTTCATATATGCAAAATAAAGGCATACTCAAAGGACAATGGCAGAAAACAGATACTGGGAATTTTGTGTCCATTTTACTTTCTCCAAATTTCTTTCAGTTGTTTCTTTATTATTTTCCCTTCTCTTCCTCAGTCACATTTGCCTCATTATTTTTCTTGTCTTAATCTCCTTCTTTCTCTTTCAGCTTCCCCCAGCCCTTTCTCTCAAACACACAAACACACACACACACACACACACACACACACACACACACACACACAGGTTTAGTAAGGTGGAAGGATGCTTGTACTAATGGAGTTCCAATTACCAGCCCTGAAATGTGATAGTGTGACTTTTCTCAGCTCTCTAGGGAGCCTGCTCCCATTTTGGCTTTGCCTCTTGTGGGCTGTTTCCATTGGAAGACTGACAGATTCTCATCTTTCCTGTCTGGAAGCTTCTTCGTGCTTTTCGGTTGGTGGTGGGGCTGATTCTGAACCCACTTGAAGTCCTGTCAGGTGAGTTCACCTGATTTTGTCCTTGTCCCTTGGGAGCTTGCCTGTGGGGATGCCCTGAACTGGCATAATAAACACCATGGAGATAGAATCCTCATCACTGTGTGTGCACATGGATCAGAGAGGAGACGCCTGGGAGTGGGGCCAGAAATGGAGGGTGGTGACTCATCCTGAGCTAGGCGGGAAAAGCAGCAGATGGTGACCTGCCTCCCCACAGTCACTGCAGATTTTTAGAACTAGTTCTTGGGCACCAGAGGAATTATTTAAAAAAAGGGTCAAATATAAACATAGATAATTACAGGCATATTAATAGAGCCAGCATTCATAGGGGGAGTTTAATATTATAACAAGACTTTTGACACCTGAAAAACAAGGGGACAAGATGGCTCCCTAGTCATGTCCCCTCTGTCAGTCCTTGCCTTTGCCTTGTTGGAAGCCCAGTTCAAATCCTTGGGCTTCCATGAAACTTTCACAGCCCATTCTTTGTACCTTGACCTTTTCCTTTCCTGGACTTTAGGCATTTGTTATCCAAATACCACCTTGTCATTTGAGACCTACCTGAAATCGGCCCAAATCTCTCATCTCGTATCTGGTGATTTATGCACCCGGGCCTTCATCATAAGGAATTTCATCTTAAGGGTTGGTGTTTTCATGGTCATACTTCTTGTCCCAGCTTCTTGTTACTACTAAAATCTCTTTATTTAGGTCTTGCTGCCTTTGGGTATTCTCATTCCAGTACTTAATCAGACAGAGGCCCTTTTCCTTGGTATTCCCAAAAGGCATCTCACATTAGGCACATAGGCACTTGTGAGCATGTAGATTTTTCATTAGATTTGGGGTGACAAGGAATAGCATGGTACTCAAAGTACTAGAAATTATTCTCACCTAAAATTTTAGCTTAGTTTCTGAAATTCCAAAGTAATACAGGCTTACTGTGACAATTTAAGAATTCAGAGGTGTA